CCAGATATTGCTCATGCAGTGGGTGTAGTGAGTCGTTTTCTTTCTAACCCCGGGAAGGAGCATTGGGAGGCAGTCAAATGGATTCTCAGATACTTGAAGGGTACTTCTAAGTTATGTCTTTGTTACGGGGGAGCTGATCCAATCTTGGAAGGATATACTGATGCTGATATGGCCGGAGATATTGATTGTCGAAAGTCTACTTCGGGTTATGTCTACACTTTTGCAGGGGGAGCCATTTCTTGGCAATCAAGATTGCAGAAGTGTGTTGCTTTATCCACAACAGAAGCTGAATATATTGCTGCCGCTGAAGCTGGTAAAGAAATGTTGTGGCTAAAACGTTATCTCCACGAACTTGGGATCAAGCAGAAAGAGTATAAGGTTTATTGTGATAGTCAAAGTGCTATTGACTTAAGCAAAAACTCTATGTACCATGCCCGCACAAAGCATATTGATGTTCGGTATCACTGGATACGCGAGAAGATTGATCAACAGCTGTTGAGACTAGTGAAGATCAATACGAAGGAGAATCCATCAGATATGTTGACAAAAGTGGTTACACTGGATAAGCTTAAGCTATGCAGAGACATAGTAGGAATGCTTGTTCAGAACTTGCATGGAAAGGGGAGAATTGAAAGTTCCATGCAAGTGCCATCCACCAAACATTCAATGGAACACAATAATGAAGATATTCAAGCACACCAATGAAGAAGAAGACTAGTCCTTCACCTACCATCCACCACCTTCCTCATTCACACACAATGGTGTGCTAATTCTTGTGCCTATAAATAGAGTGCTTATTTCATTCATTCAAATCATCCAAGAGTGTGATCAATCAACCTTGAGAGTGTTGAAACACAACCAAGAAGAGTTGTGGGAGAGTTTGAGAGTTTTTTGTTTAGAGTTTGTAAATCTCTTGTTTTTATTCTTGTGAGTAATAGAAACTTATTTTTCTCTCAATTATGTTTATGATCTTGGGATGATACCACAACATTGACATAATTTGGAGGAGGAAGATGGGATAACTTCAATCATTTATTAAAGTTTATGAATCAAAAATATTTTAAATAATATCAATCAATGATTAAATTTGATAAATTAAAATTATTTAGAAACTAAAAATTTAAATAATAGCAATTAGTTATTTTTGGTAACAACAATTATTTTTCAGAGTTGATGAATTAAAATTATTTATAAACTATGACACAATTTAAATAATAACAATTAATTAATAATGATAAAAAAAATTAGCAACGATGAAGATAATAGCAAAATAGAAGGATTTAGTTATTATGATTGCATTTAAATCTTAAAAAAAACCAATCGAGACTCTATTAATCGATGAAAATTTTTATTTAGTAGATATGATTTTTATGGGTGATTAAAATAAATAATGATAGAATATAAAATTAAACTATAATTAAATTTATTTGAAATTTAAATTTTGTAAAATGATTGTATAGGGTAATGTTTATTGGAAATTAATTATTCAAATAATACGTAACGATTGTATGCGGTCATATTTTTAAGATACTAAATCAGACATAACAGAATTCTTATCTACCCTAAATGATTTAAAGTCTACACAAGTAAACACATTAGATAAATACTAGTACATTAATATTTCTCCACGCTATCAATGGTTCGCCAGATAGTAGATGCGGTGCGATGTGCTCTACCCCTTTCAAAGTCGTCTCATACTCAGTAACAACAATACATACAACTAAGGCCATTACTCATATAGTCGGAAACAAAGTTCGATACAGGGTTTCTATACACGCTGATGATCATAATTTGTACAAAGAGCTACTCAATGATGTAATTTTCAGTCAACAAACTCACTGTGATGGGTTGAGCCCCTGTAGTTCAGAACTCGTATCTGACAATTGGAAATCTTGGTTCGACTTATTTATAACGACCGGATTTCCAGAACCATCCAAATAAATAAAAGCAATGTCACCAGGCTTGTAATCCCCAGAGAGTAGAGATTCACTTACGCGATCTTCAATAATTTGTGTGACAGCTCGCCTGAGAGGCCGGGCACCATAACTCCTGTCGTAACCTTGCTTGCATATCAAGTTCTTGATTGGCTCAGACACCTCAAGTCCGATACCCAAAGAGTTGAGACGTTCTTTCACCTCACGCAGCATTATGTCCAATATCTCGAGCATCTGAAATAAGGGAATGTGGTGTTCATGATTGGTTTTGCCTAGGATCAAAATCTTTATCAACCATGTCATTTGTAGTAATCTCAGAATCTTTCATTAGCTAAATACACACGCTAAATTCAATTATTTTTTCAACATTACCTAAATAAATAAAAAAAGCTATCAACTATTTTGCAAATTGCATCTACCAGGGGAATACTTTCTTCACAAATTTCAACGGAATATTCGGAGTCATAGATGTCTCATTTCCTTTCCAAATTGCACCTATGAACTTGATGAGGGGCTAATTCATAAAAACAATTATTATTCTTTTCTATAGCTTAAATTTAATTCTCATTTTTCTTCCCTGACAAAGATTGTGTTTTGAGTCTGTCATAGTTTTGCCCATATGCTCGCTAGTAGGTGAAAAATTAAACGTGCCCAAACAAAAATCCAGCACTATATTGCTTTTTTAGTGCCTCACTTAATATTTAGGCAGTAAAAGAGACCTCGGGACCCAAACCTGAGGTTTCTCGAGAGGACGGAACACAACTACTTCGTCAATCCTGTTGAGTAACTCTGGCCGGAAGTAACGCTTCAACTTTTCCATCACCCGAGCTTTTATCCTAGAATAAGAACTCGATTCATCTTCATCGCTATCGGTATCCCTCTCAGGAAAAAGACCGAAGAGATTTCCTCTACGCCTCGGCTTCGCGATGCCAGCGGACCACACATTGGAAGTCATTACTACTAGTGCATTCTTGAATGACACTCTCCGACCCTATCAATCAAATTCCAAAGAGAGATTTATAATATTTAATAATAAATAGGGCCAGATACATAAGTAACACTAGTCTTCTAACAGAACAAAGGGACAGAATGGGGGAAAAACAGAAGGCAATTTCTCGAAAATTACAAAAAACATCTACATTTGTATCCTATCGTACGTAAATTGCAGTTCATCAGGTGTATTTGTTAGGAAAAATAGAAACTTTTACATGGTACTTGTAGTACCTAATGGATGTATCTGTAGCTTATGAAAGATAATGGTTGTAACTAGGATATTTTTTTGTTAGGCCATACTTCAGGTGTAGTTTTTATGTTCATTCAAATGAAAATTCATGACTAGTTACATAAAATTTAATGCAAATTGGATAATCACTGAAAAACAAACAAACCTGAGAATCTGTCAAGTGACCATCTTCAAATAACTGCAAGAGGATGTTGAATATATCTGGGTGAGCTTTCTCAATCTCATCTAACAACACAATGGTGAAAGGCCGTTTTCTTATAGCTTCCGTAAGGATACCTCCTTCCCCATAGCCTACGTAACCTGGGGGAGATCCAATTAACTTGCTTACAGTATGTCGCTCCATATATTCAGTCATGTCCAATCTTAGCATAGCAGACTCCTACAGCAAGCGAAAAATCAACAAACTTTACTCTTAACATACTGCACCAAAATTTGCCCGCAATCTAAAACTTGACAAGAAACAAAAAGCAACAGCCCCCCCAATTACAACTCCGGAGATAACTGTGACTAAATAAAACATCTTTCAAAAGCTTAGTGAAAATAATCTCGTCTTTCCTCAATAATCCAAATACATATTCAGATCCAGCATCTATTTACCATGTATAGATTAAAATCACATACAGAACCTAGACTAATATTTCGAGAAACTGACTCCAGACATCTGTTGTAAATTGGTAAATGCATCCTTTGAATAGTGAGGCAAGGTCATTCATATTGCTAACTGGACTTGTGCACTTCATTTTGGTCAAAGTTCTTAACTAAAGCAGTACAGACAAGATTTATATGCGCCAGTCTCAATTATATTGTTCTTATGAAAAAGCAAGATCATGGTACTAGGCATAAGCTTCATTTAAATTTTTGTTGGGATGAGATTTGTGATCAAAGAAAAAATAATATACTGGCCAAGTGGGTTGTGAGTTCTTACAGAACCGAAATAACTTGCGGCCAAAGCTTTGGCGAGTTCAGTTTTCCCAACACCAGTGGGGCCACAGAAGATCATGGAAGCAATTGGTCTGTTCGGGTCTTTCAAGCCAACACGAGATCTCTTGACAGCCCGACTTATTGCAGCAACAGCCTCATCTTGGCCAATTACTCGTCTCTTTAGCTGCTCGTCAAGACCCACCAGAAGCATTCTCTCATCAGCTGTTAGCTTCTTAACTGGGATTCCTGACCAGAGCGAAGCAACAGCAGCTATATCGTCAGGGCCAATCACCGAGATTCTGAATGAGACAAAAAATGTAAAATGGAAATGAAAGAGAGTTTGTTATTATTTGAAGGAAATTTATCAAGTGAAGGAAAGCATTGAGACATACTCATCTTCTGACAATGAGCGTGCCCCAGAAAGATTTTGATTGACTTTTTCATCCTCCTCCACTTTTGAAATGTTATCATTCTCAGTCAGTTCTGTTGCCAGTGACTGCTTAACATGCATCAGTTGCATATGATGTGAGTGTAAGATAAAATTAAACTGTAACAGTTAATTAAGTATGTATCTATGAAGCAAGACAAATATCATACTGCTTCATGCATGCCCTGAACAGCTCTGATTTCCTTCCAGTAATCGCTAGGTGACTTAGAAAGTATTGAAGTTTGCTCTTTCTTTCTCAATTTAGATGCTTCCATACGAGCTCTACTTCCTGCCTCATCGATAAGATCAATAGCTTTATCAGGAAGATATCTATCTGAAATATATTTTGATGATAGATACACCGCAGCATTTATGGCCTCCATAGTGTATGCACATTTGTGATGATATTCGTACTTCTCTCGCAAGCCCAACAGAATCTGAACTGCATCTTCCTGGAAGATGCCAAAACACATAGCAAAGAAGGTGGTAAGACTAGCTACAATAGACAATTACAATTGATATGTGCTCATGTCCTGTATGTCAATTAAGATTATATCACTACCTCACTTGGTTCATCAATCAAGACAGGCTGAAATCTTCGGGCCAAAGCTTTATCCTTCTCAAAATGCAATCTGAATTCGTCCATTGTTGTCGATGCAATACACTGCAAAAGACGAAAGAAAAGTGTGTAATCAAGCTCCACCTAATTCTATTCAAATGCAAAAATTAAGTCATTTGGTACATTGATGCTTTAAGAAATTTCAAACCAAGGAGTTATGTAGTATTTTATAAATTGTTCATTATCTTTTAGTAATTCGGGAAGGCTGGCAGGGAAAACACTCTTTATATATAGTGAAAAAGGATGAACGAAAGCAATTATTCATTGTCTCAATAAATTTCAAGGGTAAGTGTTGAAACTATATTTTTTATTGGTTCATACAAGCACTAGCTAGATAGACTATCAGCTTTGAAGAATACAAGGGTTATATTTCACATTTCCTGAATGGCATCAACTAAAAGATATAGAACTGCACATTAGGAAATAGGCATTACGCATAAATCTTTACCTGCAATTCACCACGTCCAAGGGGTGGCTTCAATATATTGGCTATGTCTAGACCAGATCCCTTGTTTCCTTTTCCTACTACGCCAGAACCAATAAGTGTGTGGACCTCATCAATAAAGAGAATTACATTTCCTGAAAAGGGTCAACATGAAGCTGAGCCTTGATCCAAAGACTTTAGAACATAGCCTAAGACAAACAGAAGCTAACCTGACTTCTTAATCTCCTTTATCAACGAAGTAACACGTGCCTCCAACTCACCCCTCTCCTTTGCTCCTGCTATTAGTAGACCTATATCCAAGGACAATATGCGCTTTTTCTGTCCAAAAGAAAAAGTACTGATCAGCACAAGAAGCAAGATTAAGTTTCAGCATGCTCATTTGATTCTTATAGTACTCCATAACAACACATTGATTAAAATATTTTTCGGACTGAAAAAGGAAGCATATACCATAAGAAACGAAGGAACATTTCCATCAGCAATGCTTATAGCCAGTCCTTCTGCAATTGCCGTCTTCCCAACTCCAGCTTCACCAAGAAGAATTGGATTACTCTTAGTTCTTCGGCAAAGAATTTGAATGATCCTCTGTACTTCAGTCTCTCGACCAATTACAGGATCAATTGATCTACTGCTAGCACGGGCGGTGAGATCCACACAGAAACGGTCAAGAGCCTTTTTTTCTGTTAAACAAAAAAATGTAACTTCAGAGTGATTTACTGAGTTTCTGAAATATATTAGCTGATTGACAGAACAAAAAACTGGTACCTACCTCTTGCCATTTCAAGGGATTTAGCATGAGTAGCTTTCTCAGGAAATATGTTATTTTGTGACTTCCTAAATGCAGGGGAAGATGGTTCTCTTCCTTCTTTGGCAAGCTCACCTTGAAGTCTGGAGACTGCTTCAGCGGCCAAATGATTCACATTTACTCCTAATCTGAAACCATTTCAGTCTAGTTCAAGATATAACAAAATGGAAAAATTAAAAAACAATTGCACCACCTTCACTTAATAAGCATGTCGAGCAGCAGGGAAAACAGCAAGTGGGTTAAAAACAGTTTTTTCATGTCAATCCCGTGTTCTTCCCTAGCTTTTCTAGCTTCCCTAACTATTCTTAGCTTACCTGACACCACTTTAAACATCATTGAGTAAATCAATATAATTTAATAGAATGCAACTTAAATTCATAAGCCAATGTTATCATATTCACATTAGAAGACAACAAATTACCCAAGTAAAAGTTATCCACAATCCTGAGCCACTACCATTTATGCAAACACAGCAGCTGCCAAAATCTCCATCACGCACCAATCAAACAAAAATGATACACGCAACCACTAAGAAATTTGTACAATCACACAGATCACTAAATCACAATAATAACTAGTAAATGTGTTTTTTTCAAAGTACCTCTTCAACACACGATTTACGCTGCCATCATCAACCGTGAACAGCCCCATGGCGATGTGCTCTGGGGCTATGAAATTATACCCCATCGTCTTTGAGTACTCAACAGCCGCCTCAAAAACACGCTTCGCACCAGCAGAAAACGGTACATCCGTGGCCGAAATCTCGGATTGACTCCCGCTATTCCGATAGTCTCCTTGCCACAAACTCTGAACAGCTTCTCGCGCGACACCAATGGTGATGCCGGATCCCAGGAACCCGTTTGGGGCACGATCCTCCGCTATAAGGCCCAGGAGCAGGTGCTGCGTGTACACCATATCCTTGCCTAGAGCCTTGGCCTCTCTCTGGGAAAACATCACCGCCTTGATCGCACGCTCCGTGAACCGCTCGAAGATTCCAGCAACCACGACCACCGAGCGTCTGGATTTCTTCAGCGGCGCTGAGGTGTGCCGCAATCGGGGACGGGCGAGGGAAATCCCCAAGTAGGACGACGAGCTGCTGGTGCTGCAAGCATTTACAGGATTCGTGGTGTAGGAAGACGAGGAAGGCCAATTCGGGGGAAATGTAAGGGCCACGTGGCAGCGGCGGTGGGAGGTAGGTACAGTTACACGGCAGTAGGGGCCGGAATTCAGCGAGGAGTTGACTGAGAGCGGCGGCGAACATGATAGCTCCATTGAACAATGAAATATATCAAATTATTTACAACAGAAATATATGTATGTAAAACTGATTGTGTGTGGAGGAGGAGAAGGAAAAATTTGTGTACAGAGAATGAAAAATTGAATGAGATATTAGAGATGAATATTTGGCGCATAAAAAGTCCCGGAAACTGGGGATAGATTCAGAGACGATTTTTGGTGGCTTTGGAGGTCAACATGGAAATAAAGGAAGCTAAAAACTTGCAGCCAAGCTACACTTTTATGAGATATTCCTTCTTTTTCTTTTATTTTATTTTTGATTCGATTACAAACTACAATCACAATTCACATTGCAATAATTATAATAATTAATATACAAAGTACGATATAAGGGCGATTTTTATGCTTGTTGGATTATTTCTTCTATACGAAATATGGGACCACGTACCATGCGAAGAATTCACATTCCAATTTCCAATTGCATGACAAAAATATGTTATAATTTGAGTCACGTTCAGGGAAAATTAATTCTGATAATATATTTTTAGTGTATTGTACTTTTTCATATATAGAGATGTTTGATAAGTAAATGTTAACCATAATTATTTTACATACTTTTCATAAATGCAGTAGTTTAGAAAATAAAACAAATAAAGTATGACATTTTATAAAATATGATATATTTTCATTTAGAAAATGTGACGCCCAAAATCATTTTAGGTTAAGGTAAATAAGTAATTACCAGTGTTGGTTGTTTTTTATTTTTCATTGATAGATGTTGTAATTCTGAGGGGATGTCAGTCTAAACTATGTATTAATTTTTAATTATTTACATAATATTTATTGTTTCTGAAAAAAAAAAAAATTAAAAGCATATACGACCATTGCTGCCCTTTATTGTTTAGTATAATTTTGTAGATAATACAAATTTATATAATATTGAATAATAAAACAACATATAAAGATAACACTGGTGATTATTTTTAAATTATTAAATTTACATATTGCTTCACTGGTGATAGGTACGAATAAATAAATAAATATTAGTAAGAGCAATCAACTATGAGTAATATAATTTATTAATTTGTACAAATTGTCAACATTGTATAATACGAATATAAACGTTTTTAATACTTTGGGACATGAATGTAACTCATCCAGATTATGCAAAAAATTAACTTAAATGTGTGAGTTGTGGGTTTCAAAACACTAGCAATTATATTGTGCACATATACAAATATAAATAAAATTTTATAAATTATATGTGTGTGTAATATTTAAAATCATAAGTTAGATAATCATCATCTCACATATTTTAAATTCTATTATTAGTAAAAATTAACGATATAAATATAAATTATTAACTTACATATTAATCACTATTTTAATTGTAATTTTACAATCTTGAGTGGTTAAGACCAATTAATTAAGCAGATTGAAAAAATATTAAAATTTTTATTATAGCAATTGTGTAGTAACTTTAAGGGACTGGCTTATTCCCCTAAAAATTAATAAACTAATTTTAATAAATAATTGCTTAATGAGCTGAAAATAAAATAACAATAATTTAAATAAATAGCTGAAAAAAATATTTGAAATAGTATGATTTATGATTTATTTAGTAGTAGTTGTAATAAAATAAATAAATATACATTACTTGATTTATGCAAAATGTAAGGTTTCTTCCAAGTATAGTTGAGCAAATGAGCAGAAAAAAAAAATGTTTTTTGCTCTAAATGATTAACTACAATTATATAAACATGCACATATAGAATCTAAAATATATTTTGTTACAAGTTTTTAGAGATATTTTGAATTTTTTATATATTATTTTTATGGCAAGTGTAAGAATTAAGAAAGCAACTGGTTCTTACACGCAATCTAGCAGCTAATGAACAAGGTATGATATGATAACCCAAGACGAAAACAAGGAAAGAATGGCTTCCAGGACAAATTGGAGGAACTCCCCACAAGTGGAGAAAGAAAAGAACAATTTTTGTATCTATGGATTTTGAAATATAAACGGACATTTTGTAATTTTTTATGCTCTTAAAGAAAAGAACAATTTTTATGGATTTTGAAATATAAACGGATATTTTGTAATTTTTTATGCCCTTAAAGAAAAGAACAATTTTTATGCGCTTATGGATTGTGAATTTATATTTAAATATATTTTAAAGTGAGATGATTAAAGTTATTTTTTTCTCAAAACGATAAATATATTAAAAACTGAAAAACTCCGAAGTGTCAACTGACACGACAAGAACCAGCACAACAAGAACTAGCACAAAGACTGGATCCACCCCCATTAGAATTACACAATCAACTAAGGGGTTACAATCACCCGCAAAACACTAAAAACTCTAACATGGAGACACAAACAACTTCAATACAGAGACTACAACTCTATAGCAAAGACTAACACCGGACGCAGCTGGACAAAGACAACCAACAAAAGAGAAACACTAAAAAAGAAAAAAAAACTCACACATATTCAATACAATACATCTCTCCCCACTACCAACCACAAAATCCTAACTACCCCAACGAAAGCGACAACCGAAGATAACCCAAGAAACAGAAAGCTCAAACTCAGATCTATCAACTCTAAACCCCTGGACTCAACAGGTTTTGACTACCTTGACCAAAACAACAACGCCTGATCCTCCTTCCAAATGGATCACCACTGGAAAACACCTTCAGGACCCGACAACTGACATCTCCCCCAACACAAGCAGACACCAACAAAATAAATCAAGAGAACCCATACGCCCGACACACCTCAAAAATCTGATGGCCCCGGGGGGGACGCCCTCGCCAGCGCTAGCTCCGGCCACCACGAGAGCGGCGATCTTCGCCGAAATCTTTGACTGCGCACCCGAATCGGCAACTCACACTACCCGACGTACTCGTCTAAAAGGGGAGCACTGAAGCAGGAAGAAGGGCTGACGCCGTGGCCGCGCTGACGAACTCCATCTTAAAGCTGGTCATCCCGCGGAGGAGGCGGAGCCGCGGCAGCAATAAAGAGGCAAAATAGGCTCGTTTAGGTTATAACGAATTGGGAATTTTCGTTTCCACGAAGAGAGAGAAAAACAGTTCAATTTCAACTCTCAAGTTGATGTGATACAAAAGTAGGAAAAAGATAATTGAAAATGATGAATAGTTAAAAATATGTGAATAGATAAATAGAAAATTAAAGTTCAGTTGAAATTTAAGTTAAAAAGTGTAAAAAAATTAGTATTGTGTGTGTGATTAATTAATATTATATAGTTATATTGATAATATTGGGGAGAACTAGGTTGGATAAAGTTCAGTTGAAATTTAAGTTAAAGGGTGTAAAAAAATTATCCAGTCAGTCAAAATAATTTCTATAACTAGTCGAGCCCTTAAATGTATTGTGATGTTTGTTAGATTGGATAACTTCTCTTCCACTTTCGTTGGACCAAGTATGGGACTCGAAAATATCGAACTATTCTAATAGTCAAATAAAATTACCTTGGATTGAACAATATTGGTTGACTTTTTAAGGACTAAATCGAATTAAAAAAATAATCACTATGTTCTTGGACATTTTACAAATATCCTTATCGACTACATAATCAAATCATCTCTTATGGTATGAATCGAACTATAAGTCTATAACTTTAAATATTTCTTGTCCTCTGATCATTCGTAGAATACACAAACACACACACATAATCATTCGATGGTCATTCGGGATATTTGGTGTTCATTTGGTGGTCGTCAGATTCATTCGATGGTCGTTCAGGTTACTCAGAAGTCACGCAGATCATGCGATATTCATTTAGTGACCATTTGGTGGTCGGGGATTTGTTCAGTTTATAACCCCAGGGGAAGGTTGAATTTTTTTCAGAAGACGCGTTTCACTTTTGGATCGAGTTATTCTTACTCGACCAGAGTGGGGGTAGGGGGGGGACTAGATGATATGGAATATCATACCAAATTGGTTTTATCCGAGAAACCAGTCGCACAAGAAAGATTAATGGATAAAAATGAATATACTAGAGAATAAACCTACATATGGGCTATGACACATGTCATAATGGTTTTGCTCTAGCTAAACTTGGGCACTAAGGTACACCTCTCCCTATAAAATGGGCCAAGAGTGACGTAAAAAATTAGCGTCGTCTGTTGGAAAACTCGGTCTTTTACTGGCTATAAGGGGATGATGGTATTCTCACAATACGATAATTCAGAAAAAAAGTTCTACAATCACAAAAGAAACCATGGAGCAAAAGCATCAAAAGGCAAAGAAGTCCAAGTAATAGCCGAAGGCTCCCCGAAGTGAGAAATTCATAGCAATTGTAGAAGAAGGTTGCAGGAGTCTGAAAAGAACAACCCGAAGCTACCTTAAGTTTCGGGCCAGGAGATATCGCCGGTGTTTTAACCACGCACAATAATGCCTTATTCATTACTACAGAAATCGAGAGCTATATGGTATGACCAATCATGGTGGACACAGGTAGTTCGATCGATATTATATTCCTCCATTGTTTGGAGCAGATGGGCCTGAAGGAAAAAGTAGAGCCAATTGATGCAGCTCTCTATGATATTAGTGGAGATGAAGTCGAGCCGGTTGGTAAGGTGTGCTTAACAGTGGTACTGGGGTAGCTACCTTTGAAGACAGGAACACAGATCATGTTGGTGAAATGAACTTCATCCAGACTCTTTCAACTCAGACAGCCTCCGTACCTGTAAGAACTCAACGCCGGGAGGAGTCCCTTGTATACAAACAAGTCTTTAGAATTTTTGTTCCTGTATTTCTTATTATCTTTCGCACTTCTCTTTTAAGTTGGGCCTTCACTAATCAAATGGGCCAAAGCTTTTCCTTTTATTTTAGAAGCCCAATTAAAAATAAGATTATTCATTTATCTCAAATAAATTAAGAGATAGCATGGTCCTAAAACAAAATACGGAACATCCACTGTAAATTGGGACGAAACTATAAGGGCCGTTGAAAATATTGGTGATACAGGTGTTTTATGAAATGGTCAATTATATGTATATATAATTGTTTGCCTATTTAATTACATTAACACAAAATATGTCACATTAACACTAGTATTATGTTCCTATGGACTCCAAACCTAAAGCCTAATAAAGACCCAAACTCATAACTCACTAACAAACACAAGGTCCAAGATGAAATGTTCAGAACTAACACAATTTACAATTTTATATCGGTCTCATCCCAGGATAATGTACTCGTAGTTAGAGTGCCTATTTTATAGTTCACAAAGTTATCCCAATTGAATACATTTCACACTTCATAGAAACATCTCTAATTACAATCCAAATCGCAATTCATAGTATGTAATTAAGCGTCATTTGAAAAATAGTGATAATTGTTTATTGTTTCTAAATCGCTATCAT